CTGGCACACAATCCCCAAGGTTGGCCTGACCTTACCCCAAATTCTACAGGGGGTCAAACATACAGGGAGGTGGTCGAGGAACCAAGTCCCGACTACAACACCTCTAGCCCAAATCAGGGAGTAACTGAGTTTTGGGAAAGTACAGAAACCCACACAAGCCCGGACACAGAACGGGGTTCAGGGAATGGTCAGCCTCCTGACAGGTCTTGGACGGACCTAGGAGGTTCAACAGAGACGCCCAGCAGTGGCTATCACTTCAAGGGGCCCGAGGGTCTACAGCTAGGCAGGTCAACCAGGTCACAAAGTGACAGAAGCCCTGGCCTGACGAGCCCGGTGGGCAAGCAAGCAGGCCAGGCATTGGGGCACAGTCCTTGGAAGGCACCAAGGCAAAATAAGGAGAACAGGCTCACATCTCCCTCCAGTCAGGGAACTCATGCTAGTAACCCAGAGCTGAGAAGGTCACAGAGAGCAAAGAAGTCTCCTAAATACTTAGAGGATTACATAACATTGCTGGCTAAACAAAAGCCAGGTAACGATAGGAGCACTGAGAAGCAGAACACTGCATAAAATAAATGTTTATATGTTGGTAGTAGTTTTAGCCCGGGGGAAAGGGGTGTTATGTCCCGAGCCTTGCAAACGGCTCGGGCGTTTGCAGGCAGTCCCGGGCAGGTGCAAAGCTGCCCGGGACCAGACAGGCTGTCGCCAGCGCCGTGCGCATGCGCGGGTGCTGGCGCGGGAAAAGTAACACATTTACCCGGGAAGCGTCTATATAAGAAGCTGGGAGGTTTGGGGAGCTGCTGAAGCCATCTACTTGTAAGCTGAACGCTGAATAAAGGAAACTGAGAACTTCAACTGCTTCTCGTGTCTGCTTCCCGCCAAGGACTCAACAATAGACATCCTTTTTTTGCTGGTATTTCCATACAATATGGGCTTGTGGTCATTTAGTAACTGTTTGGGATAATGTATTAATGTATATTTAATCATTTATGGGAATATCTTTAAATACTAAATATGTTAATGTAATGTTGAATTATATTTGGATTAAATATGGAACTGTAGTTGTATCAATCATAAGTAATGGCATAAAATATTAATAAATTGAAAAAGTGGAATTATTCTAAATGTCAAGGAATGTTTGCCTGAAATGTGTGATCTGTTTGTTAATAGAAAGGCAATACTTTCTATTAATCAAAGGATGCAGCACTATGTGTTAGTATGGCAGAGATCCATTATATCTTACAATAATATATTGCACTGTTTATATTATAATACAGAATAGATTAATAAACTGGTGACTATTGATAAATATAAAAGATATTTTTCTTCTTTCCTTCAGTTTGTACTTTTACTTTGTATTTTTAATTTTTTAATTTTTAAAATTAAAAATTAAACTAAAGATTCTTTTATTGTAAACAATAAAGATGGATGGATGGATGGATGGATGGATGGATGGATGGATGGAGAGAGAGAGAGACTGATAGAAAGATGTTCAAACCACACATAGGAACAATTAGTAAACATTGCTAGTTTTAATATTCTTGAAATACCCTGAGAGTTTATTTTCGCTCGGGAATTGCTATATAACATAGGTATTGGCATAAACAATTTAGAGTCCACTTATCTCCTTCTTCTCGTTCCTCTTATATTCTTGTCCTTCTATTTATTTGGCAAAGAAAAAGCCTGGACTGCTCCACTGCTCACCTCTTCTTTTAAGAAAAAAAATCTACCATTGTTATCTTGCTTTCTTTATTTTGTTTTGTTGTCCTTTGTTTTGCTTTGGTGTAATTGTCTTGGTGCATAGTTCTCTCAGATTCATCACACAACCAATAGACAGAATTCATCACCAGAAAGAGAAATATTTACATGGCTCTGACTAGTTAGAAGTAAATATTATGCTTTACTTTTTGAGAAACTAAGGCTCAAATACCTTTGTGAAATCAGAGGTTAAACTTTCCAATCATTATCAGACTATATACACCCCATTCAAGGAGATGGGACATAATTTCCCAGTTTTGGGTAAGTTGTATTTTACTGAAACCTTCCTACTTTGTCCATTAACATATTGTAACAGGCCAAGACACTACACTAACCAGGTGCTTTTAGGCAACAAGTTCAAAGAAAAATGTGAACAATGTTCTAGGCAGTTCTTTGAAACTGCTTTGGAGAACAGCGTACGAGGGAACAACTCTCCCTTTGAGGGTCAATTTATTTACTGAAGAATAAGCAAGTTGTCATGGGAGATTCCAAGGGCTCAAGTACAATTAAACAGGACAGTGCTATTGAGAATGAGAAATGGCTCAAAGAGAACCTGCCCTAACATCGGCCAGGTGCAAGTCTAGGCCCCTACCACAACTATATCTCTTCCTCAGAACACTGAAACAAGACTTTAGCTTCAGTTGGTTTCCGTTTTCTCTCCACATGGTGGGATGCCATGTTTATCAGAATAAAGTACACGTCACCACAATTCAGCATCCATGCAATATTCCTTCCACTATATGGCAACAACACTGGATACAGCTTGGTAGGCTTTTCAGTATTACTCACTTGCCAGAGATAGGAAAACTGGATCCTTCCCTTCTATTCTCTCACTGACAGGACAGAACATATCCAGTTTACAAGCACCTTGCATCTTTCTTTCACAGCCTGTCAGTCATTTCATGCATTTAATGGATAATTCAAACAACACCCATAATAGAAACAGCCACTCTGCTCCATCTGGGCCATTATCTCTTTTATATTTGCTCTTTAATATTTACTGGGTTCACACAAAGTGCACATGCTCCTTTAGCTTCAAGGACACCAAATTTAGTAATTGCTGCATCTCTTTTGTTGAAGCAGGGAGAGAGGACAAAGTTTTTACAAAAAAAATTAAAAAACCTTATGGGCTGCTATTTTCAGTACTGCCAAAACGCTACAAACTGCCTTGATTTACTTTGTGTGGGCAAAGAAACATGTAAATGTATATAAATTTCTACTACATTCTACCAATCATCCTCTGTCTCTGCAATCAGGACCTTTAAAAAAGAAGTAGTAATTAACCCTTTAGAGAAACAATTTCGGTGCCATCTCTCCCATGAAAACTGCTGAAAAATAGCTATAATTATTTTTTAAAAAATAATCTTATATCAGAGATTAACTGAAAATTAAAGTCACTCTACCCCTCATACACACATCCCAAAAGTCTTTGTCATCTTACAAGTGACTGTAAAAATGTTCTATTTATTAATAAGTTAAAATGTTTTTAAGTGTAATGCTGCATCTATATTTAGATAAGTTAAGATCATATAAAAAACTAATCTACTTATCTCAAGAACATATTCTGAAAATAAACCAACACTGAAAATAAATAAGGTATGTATTCTTATGCTAAATTTAAGGTATGCATGAAATAAGGGATGATTCTTCAAAATGCAGAACATTGATTAAAGGGTTTTTAAAATGGAAATCCAAAATGTGTTTGGAATTAAGCCAGGTGATGCAGGTCTAGGTCAACTCACCACAACCAACTCGCCGCAGAACAATTCAAGGCTGTATTAATTATTTCATTGAGTTTCTTTTATTACTGGTGACCACATTTTTGTCAAAATTATTATAACTCTTATATTTCTGAATTGACTTTATTTTATTATTATCAGCCATAGTTCCATTGAAATTAATTTAACTTTTTTATTTGTTAAATTGTCTTGTGGTGAGTTGTCCCAAAGCGAGTTGTCCATGACAAGTTGTCCCACAGTGAGTTAGCCATGGCGAGTTGCCCATGGTAAATTGGCCGTGGTGAGTTGTCCCATTCCGAGTTGATGCTGTCACTGCCCTCTCATGGTGCCTGGAGACTGTGGAGGTCTGGATGGGGGACATCAAACTTTGGCTGAACCATGGTAAGAATGAGTGGCTTTGGATGCATTCCAGGTTTGAGGTCCTTAACCTCTTTAATTCTGGATGGTGTTGCAAATGGACTTAGTGCACAACTTGGGGGGTTCTCCTGGACTCATCAATTCTGATTGATGAGCAAGTAGCAGTCATGGCTAGGAGAATCTTTGCGCAATTTTATATTGTGTGCTAGTTGCACCCTTTCCTGGACTGAGAGTCTCTCTGCTCAGCCACTCAAGGCCTGGTCATCTCACAGCTGGATTATTCAATGTGCTCTACACTGGCTATCCTTGAAGAATATCCAGAAGCTTCAAGTGGTACAGAATGCAGCTGCACTGGCACTTTTTGGAGGCTCAAGGGTAGGTCACAATACACTATTGTTCTGCAAACTGCACTGGCTACCAGTTTTCTTCCAAGTCTAATTCAATCTGTTGGTTATCACTTTTATTGCCCTTCATGGCATGGGTCCAGGTTATCTGAGGAACCATCTCATTCAGGCTGGCAGAAGAGGCAGTCAGTCAAGGAATTTTGGCTGGCAGGAGAAGAGCCTTTTCTGCCATGGCACCCACTCTTTGGAACATCTTGCTCCCCCGGGATGAGGTCCACACACCCCTTTGGGTCCTACCTTCTCCCCAGGCACACTTTGCTTCCTTCCTCTCCAGGTTAGTCAATTGAATTTTAACTAAATTTTAAATTCATGGTCTTTATATATTGTTTTAATGTTTTATGATAGTTTTATTGAATGACTGTAAGCTGCCTAGAGTCACCTCGGCAAGACAGGCACCATGGAAACTTAATAAAATAAATAAATAATAGTTCCAAAAAATACATAACCTTAATGAATTTAATATGAACACAAAATTGAAGTTTCTGGTGCAATTATTCTTTGCTTTCATATTTAAATAATAATTAATAAGTCTTGCTATCATGACTCCACTAAGGGAAGCCAAGTGAGAGCCAAAGTTCAAGTCTTCCTGATACAATGCCAGGAGAAATTGTTAGGCTTCCAAGCCTATTATGACTATTGTATGAATTGCTCCAGATAGGAGAATTTGCCCTTTGTGCACCCTCCAATTATATGTCCTTTTTTAATAAGAATTTTCTATAATGTTGGATATATTCTCTTACTGTTATAAATATTCAAGTTGCCAGCAAAGTAAGGAGGCAAACTCATGACCATATTTTAATGTGTACAACATTCCAGTTGGCTTTGTGCTATCTGTACAGAATCTTCCCATGGCCCCAGAGCTATAAATAAATTCTCTTTCAAGTCAAGCTTAACTACTGCTAACTTTATGGATAGATCCACTCAGGTTTTTTGGCAACAGAACAGAAATAGTTCGCCACTGCCTTCTTCTGGGGCAGTTTTCAGCTCTCCAGTCTATTTCTCTGGTATTCCCTGCTAGTCTGTCATCAGTAGGCTTTCATTAAAAGTTTTATTTTTCTTTTTGTCATGAAACATGAGCAGTTATATTCTACTACAATTTCTATGGAATAATGATCCTTAGCTTGCAGCCTTACCTGTAAGTGTAAGATTTGTGTAGGTGTTAGAGAATTGTTCCTTGAGAAGAACCAGGTGCATCTGAGCTGCCTTTTCTCTTTGTAATTCCAACATGATGTCAGGATGCTGGGCAATCTTACAACCTTTTTGTTTATCCAATGCAATATCACTGCGAATAATGTCTGCAGCACAAGTAAAAAAAAAAAACAAAAAACATGTCACACAGTCAACTTCCAAACTTACCAAAGTAGCCAAAATTTACTTTAAAACCAGATAATATTATTACTGTGGATAATTTATTCTTATAGTACTTTGGACATCTGAGTTTCTTCCCAAGTAATCTTGTGTTTCTATTTAGACTTATTTCCCTGAAAGACAACATGGCCACTTGCCAGTCCTGCCTTTTTTGTTATGAAAAGTTTTTCCTAAAACAACTTTTAATATGATCTGTTCCACAGAGTACATCTGTCCTGTTAAATGTACCAGTGATAAAAGCAAGAAACATAAGCCACAAAATAGGATTTTAAAACATTCAAAACATGAACTTCTAGATTAAGATTTGAGGTAAAGACTTACATAAAGATCTTGGATTGGGGCTGGGAGGACAAGTTCAATTTTATTCTAAATCATGCAAGCTCAGTAGCTGATTTGGGGCCAGTTACCATCTCTCAGTCCAAACTATCCCTCAGGATTGTGAGAGAAACCTGGAGGAAGGGAGTGTTGGATACACAATTTTTCACTTTTGGATGAAGAATGGGATATAAATATAATCAATATACTTTTTTTAAAATGGTTTAGAAGGCAGTGAAAGAATATTTAAATTTGCTGTGCTGTTAATACTTCATCCATTTTAATGAAATCTCACTGTTAAAACATTGCATTACAATATATTGGTAAATTCTGTTGAATCATAAAATCATAGAAAATAAGAACTGGAAGGGTGATCTTGTTCAACACTTTGTTCAGAAATCTGATAAGCTATCTCTCTCAGGTAATCATTTAGTCCCCAGAAATTCACTATTGCAGTACACAAACCATTCTACTTCTTAACAACTTATTGTCAAGAAATTCCTCCTAATAATCTCTTCTATTTATTTTAATTTGTTGATCTTTGTTCTGTCCTTAATTTCATCAAACAACAGGTCTGTCTTTTCTGGCACATGAGAGACTTTTAAATACTTATAGACAACTGTCACACCTCTTCTCAGACTTCTCTTTGGAAGCTAAACATGCCCACCTCCTTTCTTTAAAGGGCTTAGTTTCCAAACCTCTTATCATCCCATTAGCTTTTTTTCTGAATTGCTCTGGCATTTCCATGTCCCTTTGAATGTGCACAGCGCAAAAGAAACACAGCACTCCAAGTGAAGTGTAATTACTACAAAATTATTACTTGTAACACTTATATTAAAACAATTCAAAATTACATTGGCCTTTTTAACAGCTGAATCAAACTACTTGTTCATATTCAACTATTCCATAAGACCTATTCATCTTATGTATTTGATTTTTACTATGTAGACACAAGACCATGCATATGCCACTGTTGAATATCATTCTGCTGGATTTAAGCAGTTTATTGCAAGGGAAAGAAAATCTGGATTTTGGAGCTGATCTTCACTTCTAGACCAATAACCTAATTCCACAAACGAGAAGACCAGATTATTGGATGTTTTGGCCTCCTGTTGAATACCAGATTAATATATAATAAGGCTATGTATATCCATAGACGACATACAAGTGAAACTCAAAAAATTAGAATATGGTGCAAAAGTTCATTTATTTCAGTAATGCAACTTAAAAGGTGAAACTAATATATGAGATAGACTCATTACATGCAAAGCAAGATAGTTCAAGCCATGATTTGTCATAATTGTGATGATTATGGCTTACAGCTCATGAAAACCCCAAATCCACAATCTCAGAAAATTAGAATATTGTGTAAAGGTTCAATACTCTAGGCTCAAAGTGTCCCACTCTAATCAGCTAATTAAGCCATAACACCTGCAAAGGGTTCCTTGTGCTTGATTGGACAGCAAACCCGCCTGACCTGAACCCCATAGAGAATCTATGGGGCATTGCCAAGAGAAAGATGAGAGACATGAGACCGAACAACGCAGAAGAGCTGAAGGCCACTATTGAAGCATCCTGATCTTCCATAACACCTCAGCAGTGCCACAGGCTGATAGCTTCCATGCCACACCACATTGAGGCAGTAAGTGCTGTAAAAGGGGCCCAAACCAAGTACATGCTTATACTTTTCAGAAGTCCGATATTGTTCTATGTACAATCCTTGTTTTATTGATTGAATGTAATATTCTAATTTTCTGAGATTGTGGAGATGGGGATTATCAACTGGAACAACCCTTGTTGTCAACCCTTCCTGGTAGTCCAGCCTAGAAAACCAAAATCATGAATACAAATACTACTTTATTGTAAGGTTACAGTAATAGAATCTTGCAAGTTTGCAAATGCTTATCCCCTTCCCCTGACTTTACATTCGAGAAAATTAAAGAGGGTCAATTCTGAGATATTTTCTCAAATTACATTTCTGGTCTGGGCTCAGATTTCATTTATCAAAGTGTTATATGGGTTGCAATTCTTCCTCCTGTCTCTCAACACTATTTTCACTGAGGATATTAGACTAATTCAGAAGTTTAAAATATCAGACGATTCTTCAGTTTTTCTTTTATTAGTTGCAGAATTGATAGGCATTACTTCTTATACAGTATTGCACTCTTGTACAGTTTTTGAAGCTTTTCGGAGAGTGAAATATGCTGATTTGGCTGCCATTTCTATCACTTTTTCTATGTATTTTATATTATATCACTAATTTTTGAAGAGTCTTTAACAGAAACTGAGGCCCTTCATCTAAAATTCAGAACTGCACCCATTCATGCTCAGACTGTCATTTGGAACTGGAATATCTTGTAATTAAATGTTTCCATCTCTTTCCTTAGACAATCCTTCCACAAACAAGCAACTTTATAATCTTGATCTGACAGGGAACTTCAGGAACTGCTTTTTGTATAATTGGAGCACTGGACCCAGGCTTTTATTCATGTAGTAAAAATGTATAATTTATAGTAAATTCCTTAGTTTGGACAATAGATACCTGTTTCTTAACAACTGATGATTTGTGAACATGCCTGAAAGTCACATGGGGATTTATGTTGGCATAAGAAAAATCAGAAAAGCTATGCAAACAGTTATGCTTGATCTCATCCTATGTTCAAAGATATCATACTTCCCAATAATTGTAACATATATTATTTCTACTTTTCCCTCTTCTTCCCGATGTGTGCATTATTCTCCTTCCACATAAAGCTAAGAGAAGGAAGAGAAGAAAAATCATGTGGTTTAGAAATGGAAAGCAAATTAATACGTGTGCTTTCTCATATTCATGTTGTCTATCCCTACTTTAAATTTTGTGCACATGGACAAAAATATATACAAGTAAGCATTCATATTTTAATATAACTACAAATCATGCATAAATGAGAAGGGATTTCCATATGCCTCTCTTCATAACATAATCTTATATATATTTTGACCCAACCAAAATGTTTGAGAAAGATAATTATCAATCCAATGAGAGTAATATCTAAGGCATGTTTGCCCAATCTGTTGTCCTCCAGATATATTAGATATCTATTATCAAGGATGATGGGAGTTATAGTCCAGCTGATCTGATAGACAATAGGCCTGATATTTTCTTCTAATAACAATATTTTAAATATCTATGACACAATGTCCATGGTGAAGAAATAGCAGTAATATGATATATTAATCAGGTAGTCAAATTTCACTTTATCAACTAATTACAGAGCTTCATTTAATTCTATAAACATCAAAGTACATTTTGTTTAGTATGTTGTGTAAATCCATCCAATATGTGAGTGGCAGTTTATGATTTAGTAAGGTCTTTGCTTATTCAATAAACCATGGTTAATAGTTAATTATGTCATGGATTAATATGTTGTGGGATTACAGTATGAAGAAATTACAGCTCCCTTATGCTGTATAACTACAATTCTCAGCATCTTTCATTATGCCTCTGCTGACTGGAGCTGTTGCATGTTGCAATTCAACATTTGGAAGGTTAAATTCTGGTGCTTAGTGAACAAGATTGCAGCAAATCTTTGGGTCTATTCTCTATTTTTTCTTCACAAATGAAGACAAATATACATGTTCCAGAATAATGTTACAAGGTCCAATCTGGGTTGGTTACCGAGACCAGAGGTTTAGTCTTCTAAGCTTTTGGACTCGTACTGGAGCCCATCCTCAGGGAACTTTGGGTTATTCTGTGCATCGTATTTATGTAGTGCATCAATATTTTTTTTATATTTTTTCTTCCCTTTTCCCATGGCAGGATGAAGAAAGACAGGAGTTTTCATGAGTCTGAAATTTGAGGACATCATTCTTTTAAGCAATGGTTTCAAAAACACAACTTAGTTCTTGTTTGTTCTCAATAATTAAATTAGTCATTTCTTTTCCAGTTTTGGATGTGTCAAATAATAGTTTTGTCTTTAAAACCATAAATGGATACTTTCATTTCATCTAGAATGCACATACAATATCCTGAACTCAATATCTTCTTATGCAACAATTTGAGAAAAATAATACGGATTTACTTCTGTAGACCAAACTGGAGTAAATTGCTGTTGGATTTGGTTACAATATACTTTTGAATAATCAGGAAGACAAAGCACAGTCATCCTTCTGAAGTTATTTGTACTGCAGATTCATAGATGAATATGAAGGGAGCACACCCATGTGGCAGGTAGATGAGCTGCGGCTAATTGCAGGATGCAAACCCAGCCTTCGTAAACTGGAAAAATGAAGGGCTATCTTTCTAGTACAACTCTAAGGCCAGAATATGAAAAAAAAAACAGTAAGGCTTTCTGAAGGTAGCATATTCAAAGCTTCTCATACTACCTCAGCATTACCCTGGAGATGCCTGAATACCTTTGGGACCTTCACAGTGAAACTCTGTTTGGAAATTTTGTCCATTTTCAGCAGTGGTATAAAGGATCTTCTGTACTTTGCTAGGATGGGTTCCATATTTTCCACATATGTTTTAATTGAGGATCTCCTTTTCAATTGAGACACTAGTACATCCCACATCAATTTTAGTACATCCCACACCATTTTTAAAATTGTTATTCGAACAGAATAAAATTTA